CCCCAAAACCCCAAAACCCCAAAACCCCGTGGGGCAAATTAATAATTTCTAGTTATTGAATTGAAGATAACTGATATATATATTTATTTATTTAAATTACAGAGAAAAAATGGTTTAAATATATCAATATTGGCAAGTGATAAATTATTAAGATAAATTAAGATTTAAACAAGTTAAAGTGACAAGGGATTTACTTCAATATCTATCGTCTCACTTTTCTATCTTAGTATAGGTTACAAGCTCTGTGAGAAGAATTTGATAGTAGAATTAATTGCTTATTTATTTGATTGTGTTTCCAAACTTAATCATCGAACTAATATTATAGTTTCTTAATTTGAAAGCATTCATACACAAGGCTTCATTGTTTTAATTTTTCTTATTATCTATTGATTTCAAATTTCTTTATGACTTTTCAAATATTCGCCAATTTCCAACACAATTTACTTTCTCCGTCATCTTGAAAAACAAGAGCAGTACGTCCTTGTCAGAAAAGAGGTTCTTTATTTTACCGTTTACAACCTATGAAAATATCATTTCCCATTTTTCTGACTTAGCAGGGTTAAACTAATTAGTACCACATATAAATGTTACATTTTATATTATATCATCAGCTCCAACATCATACAATGTCTTAAGACAACTTTAAATGACTTAGCATCCAAATGAAAACCCAATCAGAGATATTGACTTTCCAAGAAACGGATAACCCAGTGCTAAAGAACATGCAAGCATTTTGCCTACCTGCTTAGCCTTTTTCTTCGCATCCTTAAATATCATGTTTATGTTGTTTAAAGGATTAAATATTCTTGTAATTTTGACAAGGTTAGCTATGATCTTCATTAAGTAATTTGATTTCTTAGAAAATTCCAATTCCTATACATTGAATATCTAGGTGCTTACAGTGAACTCAATAATCTACCGAAAAATCTAACTCAGACTAGTCTAATTCCAATTCAAAATGTAAGTATCAATATTTTGATTTTCTTAGCATTTCAAAAGACCAGCCCATCGCAAATTTGATTGCTATTTATCAGAACCATCCATACTTGAGCAAATTATTTAAACATGCTTACTATTTTTCTCAGAACTAGAAATCTTTTTCAGACTAACTTTTGGAATATATAAGTCGATTTTTTTGCAAATCTAAAAGAATTTCTATAAAGTTTTGTTTATAACTAAAGTTCTCTGCTAAATCTTTAAGTTATTTCCCTGATAAATGTAATTATTGCATTTTTCACTAAGGGCTTACTTTTCAGATGGCTTTTTAATCAAATAAGTGCCTATATTAAAGCTAGTGTGTTCTCTAATTACAAAATTCTAGACGATTTCAAAGTCTTCATTAGTCACTACCTCCTCTTATTGTAATGAATCAAGACAATTTTCTAGACTACCCATGATCATAGTATACTCTTAATTCTAATTTTTATACAAGAGTTTTAAGAAATTAAGCATCATCTAACGTTATGAAGAGTCAACTTTAGTTATCTAAGCCTCACATTCTTGATTAATAGAACCTGTACCCCCTAAATATAGAAATATTACTAACTCCATTAGTTAAGTTTTTTCAAGCATTTAAATCTATTAACCACTTATTATTCTCATATCTTTTGCAAAAGAGCTTTATTTGTCTCTATAATTGTCCATCTACTCCTTGATTTCTTAATTTAATTTTTATTATTCATTTTCACTTTTTAAGCCTGCCAAATTTTAGAGAAAAATTTGGATCTCCATAAATCTCTTCTATGAGCATGGCAAGTTTGCTGATATAAATCCAGCCACACAGTAAAGTAACTAATCCATTTAGATTTTACTAAACTAGATATCAATTTAGAACTTCTACAGGAACTCATGAAACTATTTATCCCAGTTATATTATACTTGCGCCTATTTTGAGTTGTCAAAGTTAGGAGTTAACTGGTTAAGAATTTTGGTCATAAGTGCATCACACTTCTCTAGCACTATGGACTGAATATGTTTCAACTAATTTTAATAGAGAAATCTATAGTATTATTCCGTAAGAGGCACTAATTTTTCTTCAAACCTATTATCTACAATCTGGATAAATTTGTTCTATAATGTGGTTATTTTTACATCTTTAAAGGATTTAAGTTGCTAACCTATCTTCTCTATATCTAATCTATAGCTACTTCCTCCTAAGTAATCCTCTTCAAGGATCTCTAAGACTTAATCTATTTCCGCTCTAATAATACACATATCAACTTCAACTAAACATGATAAGTAAACTAGGTAAGCATGATACTTTTCTTGTATCTTTAGAAGCATGTTTTGATCAACTATTTCTCTGATAAATTCCTCAATAATATCTGATGATTTATAAAATTCAAAACTTTCAGGAGTTCCTGTGTTTGCTGTTTATTGTGCATTAGATGTGTCTTGGGATGTAGTTTGCACGGAGCCTTGATTTTAAATAGGATTTTCTTCAACAAAAACTTTATCATTGTTAAAGAACAGATCTAACTTGATATTCTCTCTTAGTTGCTCTAGTATTTCTTAATATGCAGTTGATGTTTCTATCAGAAAGCTGAATATTTCATCTTCATTCAATAACTTCGGGTTTACTGATGGCTGAATGGACAAGCGAGATAGCTTTTCATTTACTAATTCCAAAAACTGCATGATTTCATCGTTTTCTTAATCTTAAGGTGTTGGTGTGCTATAGTCTCCTGTCACTTATAACGCATTAAAGTCATCGTTAATAGATTCCGATTGTGAAGAGTAATTCTCCATTAATATTGCTATTTATTTAAGTTTAAATAATGTTATTAAGAGAGGACTTATAAATAATAAGAGTACTGATTCTCATTAAATAAATCTAAGATTATTGATTTTTAATTGATATTTAAACTATAACTAAAATAAAGCTATATACTAATGATATTGCAGGTCTATAGGTTCACTAACTAAGTCATAGGTCTTCCTTTTGCTCTTCCTTATCTTCTACTTCTTCTTTCTCTGACTTTGATTCACTTGAATCTTCATCTACTTCAACTTCTCCCTCAACGTCAGGCTCTTCTGAGGCATCCTCGTCCTCAACGCTACTAATATCAACCTCAATTTCTTCAATTGGTGCATCCCTTCTAATGCCGAAACCGACCTTAAGAAGTTTATTTAGAGGTACAGTGAAGTCAGATGGATTTTCAATCAAGAATCCTGAGTTTAATAGGGCCATGTTGTAAAGGAGGTCAGCATACTCGCTGACTTCTTGATCGACTTCTCCACCTGCTGCTGACTTAACCTTGCCCAAAAGTTCCTTGATTACTGGATGGTGAGGGTTAAGCTCAAGAGTCTTCTTGGCGAGCATATAACTTTGAGCTTTCTCTTGGTTGGCGAAAGCTTGAGCTCTATTGATCTTTTCCATTGAAGCGGAGTATCCATATTGGGAAGTAAGGATGAAGCATGGATCGTCTTCAAGTTTATTAGAGATGGTAACTTTCTCAACTTGCTTGGAGAAATGTTGCTTGAACCATTCAGTTAGTGGTTTGTACATCTCCTTGAGCTTTTGGAGCTTTTTCTTAGAGACCTCATCATTGTCAATGATGTTGACATCATCCTTGGCAATAGACTTGACCTTTCTCTTTTCGTACTCTGATAAGTGTTGAACGCAGAACTCATCAATTGGGTCTCCAAGAAGAAGAACTTCATATCCGAGTTTCTGATATTTCTTGAGAATTGGTGATTTAAGAATGGCTTCCTTTGAATCACCTGGCAAGTAGAGAATAGTATCTTAGTCAGACTTCATTCTTGAGATGTATTCATCGAGTGAGGTAAGAGTCTCTGGATCATGGGTTGAGTAGAATCTATAAAACAATATCGTTAATTACTGTTCATTTATAAAAAAAATTTGATGGTGTTTGATAGATCAGATAGAAATTTTATTTCATTAGAGATGACTAGCTCGCCAGAGGGTTCATATTCCGGCGACAATAGCCAACCTTCGCTTTCGATTCATCATTCTATCTTTAAACAATCACCTTGTGATTTGAAGAGATTATATCGTCTCGAACTTACCTTAATAGCTTAGCAAGTTTGCTTCTGTTGCTTGCATCTTCAATTACTCCCAACTTGATGTTTTTGCCAAAGGCTTTCCAGAACTTTGTGTATTTGTCATCAGTATCCTCTTCCTTCTTCTTCTCCTCGTCACCTTCTTTCTTTTCCTCTGAGTCATCTTTACTCTTCTCTTCGTCCTCCTCAGTGGTGGTTTCCTCATCATCTTCATCATCAACATCATCTTCTTCATCTTCCTCCTCAGCAAGGGCTCTGATCATATCAATAGCCTTTCTAATGAGTTTCTTGCTCATGACCTTAATCATCTTGAGTTATTGAAGTTGCTCTCTGCTGACATTCAATGGTAAGTCATCTGAATCGACAACTCCCTTAATGAAGTTCAAATATCTTGGCATCAATTCTTCGAATTCTTCAGTGATTAAAACTCTTCTAACGTAGAGCTTAAGAGCTGCTGATCTACCATAGTAGTTTTCAAAGAGATCGTATGGAGCTTGGCTTGGGATAAAGAGAATTGACTTGAACTCAATTTCACCCTCAGCGGTAAAGTGAGAGTAGGCTAGGGGGTTTTCGTGATCCTTAGAGATAGTCTTATAGAATCCATTGTATTCCTCCTCAGTGATTTGACTCTTTTCTCTCAACCAGATAGCCTTGATTTCGTTAATAGTTTCCCATTCCCAGACTTATTCAGTCACAGTCTTGGTCTTCTTCTCAGCGGCGGGTTCCTTCTCCTCACCCTCATCCTTGATTTCAGCATCATCTTCCTTAGGCTTTTCCTCTTCTTCTTCTTTAACTTCTTCCTCAGTCTTAGTCTCATCATCAGCTGCTGGTTTGGCCTCAGCTTCTTCATCCTCAACTTGCTTTCTGATTTCCTTAGAAACGAAAAGCTTGATTGGGTATTGGATAAACTCAGAATATTTCTTGACGAGATTCTTGATCTTATCTTGCTCAACATATTCAACTGCATCATCCTTTAAGTGAAGAGTAACGCGGGTACCTCTTCCGAGAGTGTCTCCTCTTGGATCCTTGGTAACGAAGAACTTAGCATCGGCGGTTGAGGTCCAGATGTGCTGCTCGTCATCATTGGATTTGGAGGCAACTACTACCTTATTGGCAACCAAAAAGGCGGAGTAGAAACCAACACCGAATTGACCGATTAAATTCAAGCTATCACCCTTGCCCATTGCTTCTAAGAAAGCAGTGGTTCCTGACTTAGCAACAGTACCCAAGTTCTTGATGAGCTCAGCCTTGGTCATACCAATACCAGTATCAGTAATTGACACGGTCTTGGCATCGTAGTCGAAGTCAATCATGATTTGGAGATCTGGGTAAGCTCCCATGAATTCAGGGTTTTAGAGGGAAATGAATCTAACCTTGTCAAGGGCATCAGAGGCATTAGAGATAAGTTCTCTAATAAAGACCTCCTTCTTTGTGTAAAGTGAGTTAATAATGATATCCATGAGTCTTGCAACATCAGCATTGAATGAGAACTCCTCCTTGGATTGCTATTTAAGTTGTAAATAAGATAAAGATATGTAGTACTTCAATCTCTGATACAGTATCTTGATCCATATCAAATCCATCAAGCTTGGGGCGCTCTCTAGATGAGTTGGCATCTCTTAGGGAAATCTCATTCTCATCTTCAGTGATAGCCCAGACCCTGATAGTCTCTAAGATATAGATTAAGCAATTCAAATGTCCTACCATGAAGGAATAGAGCTTGAATAGCCACTAGAACAAGTAGGAAATTTCTAGATGTAAACCTATTATTTCTTAGCATTAAAAAATTATTAATAAGTTTGATAATAACCCTTAATATATTTCGCTACTATACGTGTAAATTTGTTATTGAATCATTATTAATATTGGTTTCGAATTAAAATTAAATTTAAAGATTAGATCAAATTGACATAGTTAAAGTTATCAAACCAATAATTGAGGTTAACATTTTGATTCCAAAGTAAATAGCATTAGTTCTATAGAATACGAATTCCGCATTTTACACAGTCTTGTAGTTATTTCCAACCACAACATAGAATGCGCAATTCTTGTCACTTGCTTTCAGCCATAGGCCATTAGTTACATTTCTCATAGCTTCTTCTAATGTGTCACCTCCATAGAGTGAACAGGGATTACCAGTATAGTTCAAAACGTAAGTCCAAATAGGCGAGGGAATTCTAGGATCTTCTGGTACCTCCCATTCTAGTTTGGCACTTCCTAAAGCTAGGAATGAACAACGACCCTTAGGTGCAAGAAAAACTCTCATTCTGGTTGAGAAAAGAGCCTATTCTTCTTCCACATAAATCACAGTTTTATTGTCTTGGACGAAGCATCTGGGATATTTCTAATCAAGTACATTGATAGCATCCTAATTTAAAGTGGTTTGATAGCTTATACTTGCTAAAGTTAAGAGTATAGCCAAACTGATGAAGAGATTTGATTTCATTTTATTGAAACTATTATATTATTATTGCTAAACTATTATAAAATTCTATCCAAATACATTGATTAAAGTACTGCGGGGTTTTGGGGTTTTGGGG